GAAATGCTCAGAAAATTCGAAAATAATTTTTAATAAGCAAAAAGGTGCAATACCGAAATCGAAACCCAACCGGGCGCCCTGTCTGCGTATGACGTACTATTTGGTAAAAACCAGAGGCCGTATACTGGTCCCGCCAGCGCCAAGTATAAAAAGTGTGAAAGCGAGACCAGTGAAGTGCCAGCCAAACCCTACAGAGGAAGGAAAAAAGCTTTCCCATGCTATACCCGTGCCAAACACAACCGCCATTGCCTTGTGGCCAGCACAATAAACGCTGTAGCGGCCGAAGTACCAATGCCATCGGCTTCGTCAATTCTGTCGACATGCCAAACATGACGTCACACACACAGTGTTGCCAATAATTATGGCAACCGAGGTGAGCTTTTCGAGGCAATCTCTAAAATTCATTTGCAAACAATCAGCGCATCTCTAAAGCCTGTAATTTGGCATAAATGATGGAAATGTTCAAAGGAACATACCCAGCGAATTGCATTGAGATCCATTGACCCCGAAAAATCGGCGGAGTTGGCCTTTAAAGGTACGCTATTGAGAAACAGGGGCATTGAAGAATGCGTGCAGTTTGGTTGGGTGCGAAAAGATAAGTTATTAGTGAAGATAAAGTGGAGACCAAATATCTCTTACTCAATTTCTCACGGCCAAGACTCAGTGCTGACGAAATGTTTTCATGAATCAGATTGCTCTCAGCCAATTAGAAACTGTCATCACATGTTGCCACACATGCAATTGGGCGCTGCTTGGCCATAGAAGTGATGACGCGATTTTTATGATTGCCATGATGAATGTGGTTGCAGACTTTGAACCTAGCAGCAATGGTTTCAACATGGAAGCAGGACTAGATTGCAGTGAGTACGCAAGGATCCCTCATGCTCTTGCAGTGGCAGCTGCTTTCTGCGAACAAAGCCTGGCTTCAAGTGACGGCAAGCAAAGCATCATTTTTGTTAACGGGATGCAGTGTTGCTAATTAAGCTATTTCGTTGCTAGATCTAACTCCTTTTGGGCTCAGCTTGCTACCAAAAATTTAAATTAGCTACGAGTAGCTATTGTAGCATTTTTATCCAAAATTTAGCTCCTGATCTACTAGCTAACTTTAGCTACAGTGGTGCATTGACATTTTCTGAATTATTAGTACTGAGCAAGAAATAATTGTACATATATATTAAACCAACATTTATTTCATCCAAAAAATTACAGGGGACATTATGTTTTTGAACTATAAATTTTGTCAAAAATTGAAGAAAATTAAGTGCAAGAAAAGTTAATGGAATGCCATTGACAAAACGTGCAATTTTTCCTCCACTTTAATTCCTGTTAATTTCCAACAAAATGCCATGACGTGTGCGCACACACGCGCACAAAAAAAAGGAAAGATGCCACGAATACAGCTTGCTAAGTGACGTGGTTCATAAATCGGCACCATAGTGTCATATTCAGTGGCAAAGAATGATGCTCTGCAATGGCCGATATCAACTAATAATTAGATCGATTGATTCATATGGTATGTGGGGTTTAACATCCCAAAACCACCATATGATTATGAGAGACGCTGTAGTGGAGGGCTCCGGAAATTTTGACCACCTGGGTTTCTTTAACGAGCACCCAAATCTAAGCATGTGAGCCTACAGCATTTCCACGTCCATCAAAAATGCAAGCACCACAGTAAGGATTTGATCCTGCGACTTGTGAGTCAGCAGCTGAGTACCTTAGCCAATAAACCACCGCGGCAGGGCAACCAACCAATAATTATATGCACAACAGGAGTTATTACCATTTACCATTATAACTTCATACTTTTGCACTTTTACGATTTTCGAGGAAGAGTCCTTCTTACGCTTGTTTAAGGTTATGGTAGTGCAGATTTTAAATTTTTTGTTTTTGTTGTTAAATGCGTGCTTTAATGTAAGCCCACTTTAAGACTTCTCGCCAGCTTTCTTACCAGCTAAGACGTGAAAGGCAAACATTATTTCACAAATAAATTACAAGAATCTGATGCAAATGATAGAGGATTCAAAACACATGCACTTCGGTGACAGGAGTTTAAAGCAAGAAATCGTTCACCTAGTGATGAGCAGAGCTTATTCATATAACAGCTTGACCTTGGTGTGGCCTGACCTGCATGCATCTTGCATGCACCTTGGACTACAGTCACCTTTACAATTCACTAATTAAAATAACGAAAGTGACTGTTGCTTTTCCAATGCATTACTCCACTGGGGTCTCCTCCGCAGTGCTGGTTATTCAAAAATTATTCTAAAAAAATATATTCGCTTGTTCTATTATGCACTGTAAGATTCCTTATTTAAAACTTTTTGAATATTCGCACACCCGCTATGTTTACAGAGCTCTCATGCATTCCCAGTTCCTCTTTGAGGGGCGTGCAAGCTTGACACTTTGCTACACCACTCAATCCCTAAATTAGTGGAATTAAAGCAGGAACACTTTTCTCTTCGTTCATACATGTACTGCGTATAGGCAAGTGCAAGAAAACGTTACTTGATAGCTCTGTTTAAACTCTAAAGCAACACAACTGCCAGTAGACTGTCATAGAATGTCAAAAAATGTTTGAAAAAATAATTCAGCTACTTTTTTAGCTCTTTGGTGGATTCTGTTTGATATTTCTAGCTACTTTTCCACTGCAATCCAGCTATTTTTGCTCTCCGACATTTGGCAACACTGACGGGATGCGAGGCATCCTATTGCCGAATACTGTTTATGCATGCCCATGTCTGATTTTTTATTTTTATTTTCATCTTTATTTCTGACATTTTCGCTTTGGAGAACATGAGCAGAGGCGCCATGCCGTGAAGAGAGTAGCGGCATGTCACGACAGAGCAGTAACAGCTGAGCCATGCAAGGCTGCTCAATCCACCCTTGGTAAGCAGCATTCGTCCAAATAGCAGATGGGAGGGTACCCGTGAGAACAAATGCAACATTAAATTAAAATCACCGAAACCCCATAGTTCTTTGCGGGACAGCAGCAGAACACATAACATCCGACGTGGAATCACTGCGAGGCTCGCTCGTTTCAACTACATTGACATAACTGGTGTCAGACTACACCTGGAGGCCAACACGGTCATCGGTAGAAGCAAGAAAACAAAACAAACTAATGAAGAAAATATCAAAATGCATAATTCTCGACAAATCACAGCTCAACTGCGCTTTTGATCATTACAGCGAATGGCAAGGAGTGTTACAGTTAACGGGCGGAGCAGTCGACAATGCTATGACATTAGGATCACGGGACGCCACCTTTATTCACAAAACCTTTCTCTAAAGATGGGGACTTAGCGGCCCGAGCGTTCTCCGAGTGTCCCCCTTCCCTCAGCCTCGTTTAAGAACAATTTCATGAGCACTGGCATCTAGAAAGAACAAGAGCTTGGAAAGCATGACCAATGTTTTTGGTGTGGCTGTGTGTCACAATTGGTGCATTGCGCATGCAAAAGAGCCCAATCTACTTTCACATTTACAGTTTTACTTCAAGAATAACGAGCAACGTGATGTATGGCTGATAAAGCTAGCTTAGTACAAGCTATGAGCCTAAGCCCCGCACATGCGTTTGCTGCAAGCACTTCTGAAAAGGTGACTTCGTCTGCAGACTGGCGACAGAAATGTTAATTTAGTGAGTTACATTGTCATTTCACACGTGACACCCCTCTCTACATCAGATGATGCCAACACTTCGAAGTCTTCTAAAAAATAATTACTTTGGGCACGTCATCGCTCATAGTCATCACCATCTTACGCATGAAGAATGAGGAAAATTTCATTAGGGAAAGTACCAATACACAGATAAAAAACGACTAGGGGCGATGCAATTTGATAGAACCATCCTGTGAACAAGTGACTTGAAAAGGATAAGAATAAAGCCTTGCAGGAAAGCCCGTACTTAGTTTTATCCTTTTGTTCTCTTCATCCCGACATCTGCCAATTAAAACTTGCCGTAAGCTTGGAGGCTGTCATGTTTGATGAGTTCGTAAAGAGCTTTTAGACTGCAACTCCTTGGCCACAAGACCGCGGGCAGTGCTTTCCCATTTTGGTTATCACTAGGGTTATGTGTGTGTGGAAGAACCAAGGTAGTTTGAGACAAATTTCAAGAGATCAGTTCAGTGGCGATGCTAAAAGGAGGTTAGGGAGGTTCCACCTCCTACTGCGCCGATATTATTACATTTGTATATGTGTATACATGCACCCACATACATATCCCAGATCACCAATAAAGAGAAGTCAAAACTCCTACCCAGAATACTTACGTACATAATTAAAATTGTGCTCATGTGGAAACAGGCGTACGGTACACCAACCTATTTCATTACTTTTCATGGGATTGTCTATGAGAACAAGCCACCGGGTTCTTGCTCATATGAGCCACAGGTTCCCAGAAGACTGTGTTTAATTTGTTGAAGGAAAGGAGCACCATTTGACTAGTCAAAGGAGCCTCTAGCCTAACGGGTGGTACCAGGGGAAAAAAAGGTGAGGAAGGGTGTATTAAAACGGCATAGTGGCATGCCCTCACTGGTTTTGAAACTGTAGGGGCGACCCTTCCACAGGGCGCGGAGAGCTAGCACCCTGTTTGGTTGCTCAAGAAGTCCTCGAGCGCACTTTGAGCGTACTGGGCGTGGAGCCCCCTGCCAAGTGGCACCCGGGACACTTGTACCCCTTCCCCTCGCTACGCCACTGACAGAGGGCCTGAGTTCAAATCCTATTCTGTCTTCGGTGTTTTACATTCATTTGTTTTTTTGTATTGTTATTTTGCACGATACCGGTTATGGACACCGGTGGCGAAGGACAATTATGGCAGCAAAATTTGCTCTTGTCTGATCTCATACAACCTCAATGTTGGCACTTAGTAGAATGAAGCCAGATTGAATCTTCAAGGTGTCAGCTGTTATCTAATATGGTATTCTGATTTGTTGCTACAGCATTCACTCCTTTGCCCTTACAACAAACACTGACTTTATGTTATAGCAAATGCAGTGGAATACCTGAAGACACAGCTTGGGGCTCTGTTTGTGTAGCACTTGTTGACAGAATTTTCTTTTCATTTGCTTGTGATGCTTCGTTGTGGGTTAGTAGACACACTTGAACAGATTTATCTGTGGCTTGATGCTGCTCGCACATTATCTGTGGTGGTGTTTCAACAACTTGTGCCGAATCGTAAGCCGGACTCGGTCCTGCCTCGTCCACTGGCTCTGCAGCGATGTCATCCTGAAATAAACCCGATTCTGTTGTTAGTAGTGACGTTACTCATTATTTCTTAGAAAAAAAAAAGCCCACTTACATAACCTATTTCACTAGAGTGACTGGGTCTTGGCCCAATGCTGTCATCTCCAGAAAGCAACCGTCCAATGACCTGCAACAGTACATACAAATAGACGGGTTACTGAAACATACAGAATAATACGAATACTCATGGCAAGTACTTAAACGAATACATTTCAGATGAGTTTAAAGTGATATGGTGAGACCACATATAATATTGCATAATCATCTAGTATCAAGTTTTTCTAGCACTGTTCCCAGCTTTGTCTTTTTGTTATTGCCATCATTTGTTGTTCAGCGAAGTCAAACTTACAAGGCCGTTAATTATGCAGTTTGATTTGGGAAGTATGTGCAATATTATCAGATAGTGAACGACATTTACGCAATTCTACTACACTGAAATTGAAAGCAACCTAAATCAGCCTCAGCAGAGCTGTAACTTATTGAAATAATTGTAGTGAAGAGGTAGGAGAAGAAACGCGGGGCGTCTGCTGCTGTGCGCCTGATCTGCATTTGTGTTCAGCCGGCGCTACATCTACTTGGGAAGTCGTCAGCGGTTCGAAATAAACTGCCAAACATCTAATGGAGGTGCGGAGTTCTTGTGTAAAGTACGATATCACACCCGCTTTGTTCGTCTCTTCGAGAATGCTGCCCTCAGAACCTCCCAATCATTCAATTGTGAACAAAGGTTGATGGCAACACGACATACAAGCTGCAGATTTCACCGGCATTCCCATTTGACGGATCGGCGGTAAACCCTGATGGTAGATCGAGCCCATCGCAACAATGTTTCGAGCAGCGAACATTGGTTTGTCAATGCTCGAATTAACATACGGTCACAGAAGCAATCAGCTCGTTTTTTGTTTATGTTTTATTTGACGCAAAAAGTTGCGAAGCACTACTCACATCATCTCGGCCGCCGGTGCTCGTACAGCCGTGCGCTAAGCAAAAGGCAGGCATGGTGAGTCTGCGAGACGAAGTTCTCCGTACGGCACGTCGATTTTGAAGTGTAAACCATAAACGTAGGTACGGCACGTTGACAGTTTAGAATAAAAAGGGCGACTGAGGCGGAAAGCCTGCACAAGGTGACGGTGACAGTGCACGAGATGCGTCTCTATCACTGCTGGTCAGCTCACATGTAGCCGCTGTACACGTACTACTCTAGTACACTGTACGTACTTTGGCATCCCACGGCCGCTGCCATCTTGGCTTCACCGTAGAATAAATAACCAACCTTTCCTTCCTCCGTGAATGTAAAGAAGGGAAACTGTAGCCTTTACACAGATACGCTACATAAGCAGCGGTAGCGCATAAAACTGACGAGGGCAACCAAGAGATGGCACCCACAACCACTGCCATCTCTAAGGGACTTTACTGCCATCAAGGTCGTGCACGGTTGTGCAAGGTCGGTTGGTGGAGAGGCAGCGCGCAACGAGAGATCAGTTTCTTTTCATTTCTTTGTGTTTGTGAACACCATTATTATTTTTCTCTCCTAATCAATATTTAGCGTTGCGAGTACTGTAGGTGTGGAACACGGTCAAAGTTGTAGTGACGTTGAACACATGAAAGGGGTAAGCGGCTGTTTTGAAGAGGTTCAGGGCGCCCGGTTAGTTGTTAAACAGCTAGAACCGAACACGAAGGGGACCTAGTGAGAGGCTACCAGCGAAATTGAACACGTATGTGTGCGGTATGGGCGGCAGCTTCAAACAGTTGTTGAAGTAGGAGAGTTAACGGAGGCGGCTGGATAGCGGGATTAGGGTTGAACGTAGAGCTGTCGGGTGCTCGGTCCGATGGTCGGGCGGGCGATGGCTAAGGAGGCTAGGAAAACCACGAGCGAGAGTGAGCTGGTGCAGTGCGAAGAATGCAAGCGCTGGTGCTACTTAGATGAGACAGCCGACGTGCAGAAGATCAGCTTCGTGTGCAGGCTGTGCGAGGTACTGAAGACGGCCGTGCAGCACATGGAAGCTAGCATCGAGGGGTTTCATGGGGAGCTTAGGGCGGAACGGGAGCAGAGGATATAACTCCAAAAACAGCTCGGAGCGTCGCGTGAGCGGGAGGAGGCTACCCCCAGCCTATTAGAGCAAATGAAAGGCGACCTTCGAAAAGAACGGGAAGGGGGCACCGAGCTCGAGCAGCGGGTAAAGGAGCTGATGGTGTTTTGCCCCGGCCGCGAGCGGTGTGACAAGGGAGGCATGGGAAGCGGAGAAGGTGACAGGCGGGAAGGAACTGGTGAGAAGGGAGGTCAGGAGGCCGCAGTGTCTGACCACAGCACGGAGGCCCCGAGAACATACAGCTCGGTGGCGCGGCAGTCTTCGAGCAGGGCAGAAACACAGGACAGACGGCAGAGAGAGACACAGGTGAAGCAAACAGGGGCGCCATCACAAACAGGAAGCCAGCGATTGGAGCGTAAAAGGGTCTTGGTGGTGGGGGACTCTAACGTGGCCAGGGTTAGGGATGACGTCTTCAAGACAGCGAAGGAAGATGGGAAAGTGAGTGTGGAGGCCCAGTCAGGAAATTTCATAATGGATGCACTGGCCAAAGCTCAGGTGGTTGTAGAGGACAGCATGGAGGGCGAAAATCTCGTCATTATTCATGCTGGGCTCAATGATTTATTCATGCTGGGCTCAATGACCACAATAGACAAGAGTGGATCAAGTGGCTCAATGGCTCCATTTTCACAACGAGAGTGGGAAAGGGCTGAGAAGAGGGTTTCGAGTAGTACATAAACAGACCCAGATGGCATTCCAATTACGCTGATAAAGACATTGGGTCCGAAGTCTAAACGGACTTTGAGAGAGGCACGGGAATACACCAAATCAGGGAGTACGAGGTGATATGGGGTGGACATCATTTGAGGGCAGGGAAGCTAGCAGCAAGATGAAGTTTGAGAAGCGATTGAGAGAAATGTGGGAGGAGCGTTGGGCTAGGAAGGTGTTCAGCTACTTGTACATGAAGAATGTCGATACAAAATGGAGGAAGGGAACCAGAAAATTGACTGGTAAATATTTAGAAAACAGCAGGGGGCCAAACCAAAAAGAACTATCGGTTAAGAAGAAGGTGAAGGAAGCTGAGACCGATATGTGGAGAATCGGCATGATTAAGAAGTCCGCACTAGAGATCTATCGAACTTTTAAGCAGGAAATTGCCAAGGAAAGGATCTATCATAATACTCGAGGTAATTCTCTACTGTTTGAGGCCAGGACAGGAGTATTGGGAACCAAGACATATCGGGCCAAATACGAAGGGGTAGATACGGTATGCAGTGCGTGTGGAGGGGAAGAAGAAACTGCCGAACACTTGATAATGTTCTGTAAAGGGCTACACCCAATAGTTCAGGATGATGGTGCAGAGTTTTTCAAAGCACTGGGGTTCAGGGACAGGGAGAGCAAAATAGACATTTAGCAGGTAGAATTAACTAGAAGGAGATTATCTGATTGGTGGCTAAAGTCAAGGTACCAGTGAAAATTAAAACATTCACTGCAAAGTACCAGTCCTATACTTCACTATTTAAAGGAAAAAATAGATAAATTTATTTGTTTTTTTTTGCCCCGCCGCGGTGGTCTAGTGTCTAAGGTACTCGGCTGCTGACCCGCAGGTCACGGGATCGAATCCCGGCTGCGTTGGCTGAATTTCCGATGGAGGCGGAAATGTTGTGTGCTCCCCGTGGCCCGTGTGCTCAGATTTGGGTGCACGTTAAAGAACTTCAGGTGGTCAAAATTTCCGGAGCCCTCCACTACGGCGTCTCATAATCATATGGTGGTTTTGGGTCAGCCGCTGCCTGATCCAAAGGGTGCAGCCACATCAATCATATTCAATCCAGCCTTCGTACCAAAGGACCCCGCCGCGGTGGTCTAGTGGCTAAGGTACTCGGCTGCTGACCCGCAGGTCGCGGGTTCGATTCCCGGCTGCGGCGGCTGCATTTCCGATGGAGGCGGAAATGTTGTAGGCCCGTGTGCTCAGATTTGGGCGCACGTTAAAGAACCCCAGGTGGTCAAAATTTCCGGAGCCCTCCACTGCGGCGTCTCTCATAATCATACAGTGGTTTTGGGACGTTAAACCCCACAAATCAATCAATCAATCGTACCAAAGGAGGAGGGCAATATGAGAGGGCAGGGCAGCGCGTTCACGGCTGACGTTCCAGGCATAATTTTTTTAGGATGCGTTGCCTGGGGCCGACTCGCTGCCCGGGGCCGACTCGCTGCCCGGGGCTACCCGCAGGCGACGGAGCGGCTGGTACAGTGAACTATGCGGCAGTACACACCACCAAAACAAGGCTGGTGCAGTGGTGGCGCGCGACGCAGTGGTAGTCACGGTGTACCGTGGTGGTAGTGATTTAAGTAGACAAAATGGAAGGCGTGCAAATACGGGGTGTGTACGCCCGTGGAGTGTTTTTGTTTTAAGTGTTTTTTTCTGGCTAGGGCAGATTAATTTGGCCCGCCCGATACAAGGGGATCAGCCTCAATTCATCATCATCATCATCGATACGCCAAAGTGAACGGAGGAGGCCAAAACAAAAGGCCACGGAGGCAAAAGGCCGTACACAACATGGCTGCAACGACGCGTTGAAAGTTGCGACGTAAGTGACATGGCTTCAGCGTGCCACAAACCACGCTAATCCTGCGGCAGTTGAAGCCGTGAGGCGGTGTTCGCCGCTCGTGCTTGGCTGCAAGGCGCACGCGATGGAACTCGTCGGGTTGGAGTTCCGCGCGCGCTGCCGTAGGTGAAGCGTGCGGAGTGATGCGCTGCGATAAGTGGCAATCGACAAGATAGATCGTCGCAATCATATCGCAGTGATTCATTTGCGCTGCACGTGAACGAGCCGAGAATCGGAAGCAGTCGAGCGCAGCCGCCATGGACAAACTTTCGGGTATGTCTAGTTTCATGAACAACACATAGCCTCGGCGTTGTTTACGTGCTTGCCTGGCGATAGTAAGACTGGTAAAACACGCGGTATCTGGAGATTCGCCAGTACAGTGCGATCGCGATGCAAACACATTATGCTCAGTACGTTGCTTTTGTTGAACTTTCTATGCAGATGCCACTGGAACACCGTCCTCGCCTTCCGTCGGCTCAAAAAGTAGTCAAAGCTGTCTTGTGCTTTTTGAGGTCTACAGGCCTACGTGACAGCCTTTAACTTTTGTGTAGTGCCACCGCTGCATACGCGCTAGCCGATTGACTGACAATCCTTCCCCCCTCTCTCTTATCTTTCCCTCTTTCTCATCTTTATGCCCCCTTCCCATTCTCCCAGCGTAGGGTAGCAAACCGGGCATGTGCCTGGTTAACCTCCCTGCCTTCTCTCTTGTTGTTCATCTCCCTCCCTCCTCTCTATCGCTCAGTATTAGGCTAGGATCATTTTTATCTAATTGCAAATGTAGTACCGCATACTGGGTTAATAGGGAGATTTAGAATAGCGCACCGCGAGCCCTTGTGGTGCGGTCGCTGCCACTGCGCATGCGTCGTAACGCGAGCCACTGTTCGCGGCCCGCTCACAGAAAATCTGAAATCTGAGCGTGCGGCGATCGTGGCCCGCGAAGTGATGTGTGTAACTTCCGTGCATTTCTGTTCGAGGTCGGGGCGAAAGTCTCTAGACATTTCTCTAGGGGGAGCAAACGCTATTCTAAAGCTCGAATGTAAGCATTTGACAGAAGTCTGTCTGCTTGGTTATAAAACTGGGAGATGATTTAGACTCCAACCAAAATTTTTTGAAGAAACCCGACGTTTCGAAACCGACTTGGTTCCTTCCTCAGGGGTGAGTGCAGGACTTTCCAGATACCGCGTGTTTTATCAGTTTTACTATCGTCAGTCCTGCAGTCATTCCTGAGGAAGGAACCAAGTCGGTTTTGAAACGTCGGGTTTCTTCAAAAACTTTTGTTTGGAGTCTAAATCATCTATTCTAAAACTCGTATGGCGCCCGCAACTAAAGCAACGCCTGCAACACCTGCGAACATTATTCTAAACCTCCCTATTATTAATTGCCTGCAGTTGTTGCTTTAAAAAAATATTTTAAAAGCCATAGCCCATGGGAAACAGTTCAAGAAAAAAAAAAACTGTCTTTATTAATATTGCGATAAAGTGAACACTAAATTACTCTTTCTTTTTAATTTCACAGTGTAACCTCTGGCCTTACTTCACCGTGACTTATGGGCATCAATGTGCTCTTTTTTCCCTCATATTTGGACAATGTCGGCTATGTCAAAGTTACAAAACTTGCGGGGCTCAATCCTTGTCTACGTTAATACTTATGTAACCTTATTATATTTACCTTTATGTTCAGGAACTTGGAACTTTAGTGTGGCTTCGGGGCCATATGTCGATTCTGGTGCAGCAACCCTCTTCCCTCCTGAATTTTTCAATTTTGAATGTATGTATATACGTGCAGTCATATGTACTACATAACCAACGGTTGTACACTCCTCTTCCCCGAAACCCATGAAAGAAAAGTTCTGGCCACCCCTTAGGACTTTGGCACCTGTGCCACTCAAGAGAGGGTGCCAACACCTGGCCTATAGACTCCCTTCTTTAAAGGGTGGAGGGGCACTCTATTTTTTTAATTCATTTTATTTACAAATACTGCATCTTGCACAGCAAGATATTGAAGGAGTGAGTACAACACAAGATAAAATACAGTACATTAAGTCACACTAAATCACATTTAGTCACATTAAATATAACACAAATAAAGTATACACATTCAGTATGCACACTGAAGTATACACATTGAATGGGCAGAACTTCAGGAAAGTATACACAGATGATCAGTGAAGAAAGTTTGGCAATTGTTCAACGAATTCATCGTTTGACAGCTCGCGCAGCGAGCCCGGGAGACCATTCCAAGTATCAATAGTGTGAGGAAAAAAAGAAAACTTGAAGCAATCAATGTATGACTTCAAAGGAGCTATGTTAAGGTGGTGACTTCTTGTGATTCGAGAAGAAGGGCTAGTGAAGGTAATGGGTGCATCAATAAATGTTTCCCCATGAGCGATCTTATGCAACAGGACAAGACGGTCACAAGTGCGTCGGAGAGCCAAACTTTTTAGCTGTAATTCATTAGCATATATTGTAGGTGAAAAATGGCAATTATAACGCTTACATATAAATCTGATGGCTTTTTTCTGAATAGAATCAAGCATATTTATGTCATTGGCATGATGCGGTGCCCATACGACAGACGCATACTCTAGGAGAGGCCTTATTAGAGATCTGTATGCTACTAGTTTACATTCCCTAGTTGCATCTCGAAGGTTTCTCTTTAGGTAACCCAGCTTTATTAATGCCTTATTTGACATATTCAGAATTTGGGCATGCCATTTCTAGTCCGGGGTGAAAGTAACACCGAGGTATTTGAAAGTGTCTACACTTTCGAGCTTGTGGTTACAACTAAAATATGAAAACTTTAACGCATGCTTTTTATTTGAGAAAGTCATTCAGACTGTTTTTTTTTGAAGTTCAGTGACATCTGCCATGTCTTAATCCACTCGCAAAAATGGTCGAAAACTTTATTTAACTGCAACTGATCTTGAGTGCTAGTCACATCAGAATATATGACACACTCATCGGCATAAAGTCTCAATTTCACAAAAGTTCCAGCAGTTACTTTAACGACGTCGTTTATATAGATGATGAAGAGTAATGGACCCAATACCGATCCTTGTGATACACCGGATGTGACACTGACCACAGATGAGTGAGCACGGTTAAATGCAACAAATTGTGTTCTTGAGCTCAGATAGTCCTGTATCCAGTCTGTAAGTTTAGTGTCATGAATTAGTTCCTTGATTTTAATGAGAAGCTTATTATGGCATACTGTATCAAAGGCTTTCCTATAGTCAATGAAGATGGCATCAAGCTGTCCTCTGGCATTAAGTGTGGATGCAATATCGTGGGAGAATTCTAATAATTGTGTCACCGTCGGAAAGCCAGAACGAAAGCCATGTTGAGCATGTGAAAGAATATTCTGTTCAGACAAGTACTCGATGATATATTTATAGATGATGTGTTCCAGTAATTTACAGGACGTTGATATTAATGAAATTGGCCTATAGTTGCACACCACCTGTTTATTGCCATCCTTATGTATGGGAACGACCTTGGCGCACTTCCAGAGTAATGGGACAGTAGATGACTCAACAGACTTTGAAAAAATGACTGATAAATACCAAGAGGTCCATTCAGAATAACGTTTCAAAAACATATTAGGTATACCATCTGGCCCTGCACTTTTCGTTGTATCAGTTTTGAGTACAAGGTTACGAACGCCCGCAGTAGTAATTAGCATGCTTGGGAAAGGTTGTGGAGATGAGTTAGCAAAAAATGTGGGACTACGCCCATCATCACGTGTGAACACTGATTTAAAATAGTCATTAAATGCTTCAGAAATGCTAAGATTGTCAGAGCATGGTTTATCGGAAATAATAAATGAGGAAGGACAGCTCTGACTTGGGGGATTGATGGCTTTCCAAAACTTTGACGGCTTGTCTTCCATGAACGACGACAAAGTATTATTAAAATAGAAGCTTTTCGCACTTGACATAGCAGATTTTAAACTATTTTTCAGTTTAGGTAACACAGATGATTTTATTGGATTGCCAGATTTGGAATGTTTACGAAGACGCCTGATACGGCGAATTAGATGTATAATGTCGCGAGTGTACCAAGGATGCTTGGGATTGCGTTTTATACACTTTGTTGGAATGTAATTAGCAATACATTGGCCAACAATTCCATTAAAGTGGTTCACTAGTACATCGACATGGTAATGGTTGGTGCTGTTTAAAAACTCATCAAAAGAGAATGCAAGTATCCCGATTATGGAGTTATCATTAGCATGCTCGTAGTTCACAACAGTCTGGTGGAAAGGGAGGTTAGGTACACTCGTTAAGTTAAAATCAACTATGACACCCTTGTGATCCGACAGGCCTTCGACAATTTCACATTGATAGCCATATTCTTTAATATGTTCATTAATGAAAACAAGATCAAGAATTGCATTTTTGCGGGTTGCAGAAGAAACAATTTGCGTCAGGTCTAGAGAAATAGTTAAGTCAATCAAATAGTCACAGGTGAGCTTGTGTTAACCATGTGCTGATAGAGTTTTCCAGTCTATGGCGGGGGTATTGAAGTCCCCAGTGATTAACATTTTGCAACCATTTATTTTTGTTTGACTATATAATCCATGAGACCAGAAAAGATACCAAAACCCGCATCAGGTGGACTATAGACAGTTCCAATAGCCATCGTGAGACCACAAATCCTAATTTTACACCAAATAGATTTACATCGGGGAGTACAGTGAATTCAATGTCTTTTTTCACAAAGAGCGCAATGCCACCACCACGACGGCCACATCTATCTTTTCTCAGAGCATTGTAACCTCGTGGTAAAATTTCGTGTTCATTAAGCCAAGTTTCTGTTACGCATATTACAGAAGGATGATAGTATGTGACGAAGTGATGAAAGTCGTGAATCTTGTTAAGAATGCTACGGGCATTAATATTCGCTAGAGAAAAGTTATCAGAGCAGAGTAAGGTTCCAGGAGGCTGAGAAGATTGCTTCTTGGCTTGAATGATAGAGTCGCCCGCTTCGCTTAACACATAACGTGCGTTATCTATCAGCAAGGAATCATACTGCAGACGAGAGGAGGTGGCATTTTTTTTTTGGTTAGCTGAAAGTTTCCAAAGGGCGCTGCATACCTTTCTAACGCGCTCTGAGAAGTCCTCGTTTACATATATTTGTGTTCCTTTCAACGTTCTGGCATTCTTTAAAACAGCAAGTTAAGATCTGTAATCCAAAAATTTAAATATAGCAGGGCGGGGCTTTTCCCCTCTTCGTGCTCCAAGTCTGTGCCATCATTCGATGTCGGTACATTCA